GAAATTATTTTCAAAAACCTCAATTAAATATTTTCCTTAATATATGATTCTATAGGAAAGAGCTTTACTGAAAAGTAGCTCTTGGAAAATAACAAACAATTAAGAATATTCATTGATAATTTAGTTAAAAATGAGCATATATATCAGATCATTTTCTTACCAATGGAGTAGACACAAACGCGTACCCATATATAAGTAGATAAATGGTGTCTATACACAATGAGAATAAACATGAATGCATAAAATCAAAATTTATAACTGAATGTACACATAAATTATTGGTTATTCTAACCAAGTGAACTTATCATAGATCGGTACAGATGTATGTGTTAATATCAAAATAGTGAATGAGTATGGAATTGGAAAGAATAAAAAACCGATATCATTCAGCTGAAAACAACCACAAAATGCGTATTCAGTAAAAAAAAATAAAAACCAAATAAAATTATTGAAGACATAAAATCCGTCAAATTTATACATTAAAATGATTGTATAGTGTGGAATTAAATCAAAACTATCAAACGAAATTGATAATGGAGAAATGTTCTTCAAGTTGAATTGAGAAAAAGAGGAGTTGATATATACAAACAAACAAAAAAATCAACTAACCTTTTTCTCATTTAAAATTAACAAGTGTATGCATGTATGTGTGTGTGTGTGTGTGTGTATAATGGCTGTTCACGACACATTACCATAATGAAATAACATTTTTAACTCTTAGTTTTAAAACACTGAACATACACACATTACGGTAGTTGTTTATGAAGTGTATTTTTAAAAATCAAGTTCTAAACTCTCCCCAATACTAAATTAAATCGATTAAATATAATTAGTACAATATAGTTCTCTTGAAATTTACATAAACACGAAAACTGAGACTCGAAAATAAAAGCAAATACATGTGTATATTGATTAATTTATGGATATGATGGAATGAATTCCTTTTTTTTAGTTGACAAATCAACACGAAAAGTATGATTACCAGCATAGGGTTGTGGAAATTGTTGAGTTTTTATTGAGATCATGAACTGATAAATGTTGGACCATAAGTGAAAACCTGAAGGTTAAGCGTTCATGCGAAACCTATGACCCTGGGTTCGAGTCCAGCGTGCGGGATCGTGAATATGTACTGCTGAAGAGTCCCGAACTAGGAAAAAATGACCGTCTAGTGTAAACAGGTTTTCAATGGTAGTCTAACATTGATCGGTTTATGGTTTCAATGAAAATGGAAAACATAATTCAAAAGAAACAAAGAAGTGGCTTTTTAAATTTTTCTTCTAATTTTGTAAAATAAATACATTTGAAGTAAATTTATTTCAATTATCATTCAACTGATAATAGTTTGGACTCTTCTGATGTCGATATTTTTTGACTGAATTTTGATCAATCTTAATTGACATTTGTGTGAATTGCTTTGATAAAGACATAAAGACGAGTTTTTGTGAAATAGCAGTCAGTCAGCTACAACGTAGAACCAGGCATATACATGGATCAGTCCAAGTTGCCATACCTCATTAGCACAACAAGATCAACACCAAATTCATAGAGCTAGTTACTTCAATGGTGGTAATAAATAAAAGAATGATCGTGTATAAGGAAGAAAGAATTAGTTCATAGACAGAAAGGTATAAGGTAATTATAATCTCACCATCTAAGGGAAGGCACCTACGTCATTGTGATCGATTCTGAGCCATGTCACCCAGTCTCCAACCATTGATTACAATAGCCACGCGGAACCCAACCAAGTAGTATGCATTTACCAACATAGCTCAGACTAGAAGTTAGTGACTTCAAGCACTGATGCCACGTTTTCGTTTGGTCACCCCTAACTTTTTTCTAACCATCCTCAACACTAGTCAGCATTGCACATCGTGGTAATCAGTGTTCAGGTATACGTAACACTTAACCAACCCACATCAATCGATGTGGATCTACAATCTCATCAACTGATTTACCGTCATTTCCTAATACCCTGTGGCTATCTCGACTCAGTAACGTAGTGGATAACACGGATGTTTGAATATAAGGGTACTGGGTAAACATCGACTCGGGTGTAGTTACATCCAACTAATGAGTCCCAAATTTTTATTTATTTATTTATTTGAACACATAGATATTGGTACAAACGGGCACCAGATACATATGCGCCACACGAATCTCATTTGATTTGTGTGAGGGATGTGATACTGTCCGGGTGCCCAAACCGAAGCAGAATGAGTCCCAAAAGAAACGAAATGCACACCTTGCATTCCATTGCTTGCCACAATTAATGTATTCCATGAAACTTCCAATGGCTGTTTGAATAGATGATAATAGAGAGTGAATAAGGCATTGCCTTTATAATCAGTGCCATGGTATGAAATAAAACTGTACAGGACTGGAATCTGTTGGTCCATCATGACCTTCTGGTTGGGATACTGCTGCGATTTCTTTTTAAATCCTACCGTTCCCTAGAATCGAAACCGTGAATATTACGAGTCTAAAGTAGGTGATTCCTATACTGAAACATTACGGGATTTAACAGTCCAAGCTTGTACAAACTACGTTATAGCATCCCTGTTATAAAAAAGTCTATTTTTTACCATATAAAATATGGACTGTACATCAGGGAATTTTTAGTTCAATAGAAAAGTATGCTTGATGATGTTTGCCTTTTCAGTTGCGTGTCACACTTTCTGTGGAAGATATTGATACCATAGAAGCAAGGTTCAAATATATAATTTGAGTATTTTAACTGTTAAGTGTCATAACCGGTCATTAATTCAGATTAAAAAGGCGTTAAAACAACTTTACAGTCATATCTTGATCTCCGGTGCTTAAAAATAATCAAACAATAACCACTAGAGATGAGACTCGATATGATTAACCAGGAAAACTACGATAAGTATGATACCAAGATTAATTTATTCCAACAACAATAAACATAAAACATTATTGGTGCTACAATATTCAAACTAAATCCAACAATTCACTATTTTCATGAGGTTTATTAAACCGCCTAAACATGATATTCGTAAGCAAATTGTGATATACAGTTTATTGAATGAAAAAGAAACATTAATAGGCGCTATAATAAGAGTTCACAGTTTCTAGTAAACTAAAAGCTTTTTACTTCAAATCGCTTCAAAATCAGTTAACTGACATTCAAAAAAATAAGGGTAGTACGTTTTAATGAGAAAAACACAATAGAATTAAATGTAATTAATCCATAAGTTTGAGTTACTGTGGCTTTATCTAATGTTACAATACCTCAAACAATTATGGGCAATGTTGATTCTAAAAATACGGATAAAATAGAATTGCTAAAGTTTTCTTCTACGTTACTCCCTTTCATGCTATTTCAAATAGTTCTAAATAAAGTAGCACAAATTACGGTTCGACATCCGAGTGAGAACTTATTAGTTGCAGCGAAGTATTTACACTAAATAGAACAGATAGACATACATGTACTATTCTCCATAAGTCTTGCTTACAAGTGATTTAAAACATTGAAAGTCAGTTGAAAAGAATGATAAATTGATGATCCTCAACTAATACTGTTTCAGGATGATTTACAATGCACTGACTTGTAAGTCACACATTTTGTATACAGGTAACCTACTGGCAATATTTAATGACACAACATATAGCAGTAACAGTTGTGTAACTAAGTAACCATGTACAATCCAGCTGCGTAAAGTGGAGTATGGTTACAATTTGCGACCTAATAATAAAGAAGTAGTTACAGGAATACAGAGTAATTCTGTGAAGCGAATTATTATAAAAATGATTTTTTGGTTTAATACTGTCCAGTAAATATCAGTAGTAAATATCTAAGAATTGTCAGTGAATCAAATTTTTGTAAGCCGCACTATCGCTAGCTGAGATTTAGCATGCTATTCTCACAAAATAATCTCAGGAAAGTTTTCAAGTAGATAAAGGAGAATACAATGTAATTTGTGAACATTTCTGGATTAAACAAATAAAACACAGATGATGCAACATATAAGTTGCTGGAAGTCAATCAGTCAGTAAGCGTAAATGAATCAAACTGAATAGTAGTCTCATGAAAGTCAGGATTTACTTTCCAACAGTCTGTTCACTATTCATAAATGATCTTTCTGACTAAGCGTAGATAGACAATTTTTTCTATAGAAGAAAACTGTGAAAAATTAAAATGATTGTTAGAATTTCGAAAATTCTACCTGTATAACACATTTATTACATGGTAATAATTTATGTTGCTAGACCTAGCTATGCTTATATGTAGTTTGAAAAGGGAAAACAAGTCTTTCCGATACAACTGAATAACCCGAATGCACGGATTCATGCAATGGATTAACGCATTGACAGATTAACTAATTAGAAGAGCTTCACAAGCGTTGTGATAAGATGACTGCTGACCAAAAGACGTAAGTCTGAATGCAGGAAATTTGATTGTTATAAAGAACAAGAACCGCCTGCAACACCCAGGACACATCCAAATATCTAGTCAAAGGAAATTTTCAGTCAAGTGTGCATAACCGAAGGTATCATTAAATTCCGTCACCACTGAAGTGACGATTGGAAGTAGACGTTTTTAACTATAATATCTCAGAAACATCGCTTTTGCGATTGTAAATAATTAGGGAAACTAGTTTATTAGATTTAGAAACTAATACCAGGTAATCCAACTATGGTACGTATTTAATGTGTTGTACTACAATAAAAACTTGAGAATTCTGGAAGGGGATATATGATAATAGTATTCAGTGCTATTGATTATTTGACTGTCCATGAGGAAATGAAACTGTCGTTAACTATTATAAGGAAAGAAGCTGAATTTGTAGACTTAATTTGGTCTTAACGACCAAGTCACATATATTCAGTTTTAAAAACTTATCAATACTTGATCCCCGTGTGTTCCATAGATATATTTATTCACATACAATTATGACGAATGAAACTAATGCACAACTATGTATATTATAAGTAGTAAACATAAAAGTTACCAGAAAATAATTATTTATACGGCAATTTACATTGATGATAAATTACAATGACACTGAAATCATTCATACGAGTAGATCACATGAAAAGTAACATTCTCAAAACCCAAATATGAAATAATTAATAGGTTACTACTACAGCTACTCACAAATGCTGAAATTGTATGTGATGGCCATAACATTGAAATGGTATCATTACGAGAAAATCCATGATCATCATCAATAATATCAGAGCATGAAAATAATTTTTCAGTAGGATAATCAACAGAAAATGAACAATCTGTGTATGATACATTTGATGTTGAATCAATTAAATCCGTTAAATCCAAAAACTCTACATCATATTTACTAGAAGATATTGGTGATGTTGTTGAACAACCAAAATGATTTGATGTACAAGCTGTAGTAGAAGAACTAATTGAATTTTGTTGATATAACTGAGAAGTTGTAACATTAATCCCATTATAACAGAAACAAGTGAAATATGGTGAAGTGAATAATTGACTTTCACAAGAATTATTATTTGTACGATACTGTTGTTGTTCTCCATGCATGACAATAAGGTTTTTATAAAATTATATCAAAACAGAATGGAAACTTTTTAAACATAAAATAACTGGAAAAGATTAACCTAGGATAAAGTTTGATGAAGAATCCTATGCTCCTTCACAAAGCGGTAGCAGGCGTAAGTAAGTATAAAACAGAATCACTTTCTCAACATTTTAACATCATTTTTTTGTGTAGTATGCAAGCAATTACAACGAAACTGTGTTGCAGAGTTGAAAAAGGCATCAAGACGATAAGAATTATTTCAGATAATTAATTATTATTATCTAGTCACCTGCGTGGGACAACCAACACCATCTATTACGCTCTACTACGACTGACTAAGATGTATAACAAACATCTGCATATGTTATATATATATATATATATATATATATATATATATATATATATATATATATATATATATACAAACAGTAATAGTTAAAGTTATTAAAAGCAACCAAAGTATCCAAACACAAAACAAAACTCCCTTCTTTATTAAACTATCGAATGTATCAGGAATAATATGATTGGAGAACACATAAGATACGAATCAGAAGAGATCTACAGTACAGAGAGGTGTATGTGTGTGTAAAACTCTACAAATATTTTATGAAATATTGTATCAAGGAAAATTGATGAGGATTTCAATTAAAAAATTTTCTATATAAAATTATTAATAGTCACTATTAAGTAATATTTTATCTATCAAGAAATAGTACAACTAGACACAGTGACATAATAATTAAAGTATTCCGTTTTCAATTAAAATAGATGGTAGGTTCAAACAATACTTTACCTATCAATACGACTCAGATCAGTAAATGACTTGGTTGTTTTCAAATAACGAAAGAAACCCGTGGTGTTGAAGGAGAATTAAGGTAATTTAGGGAAGAAAATTTTCGTATCGACGACTTTATATACTTAAGCTGTACAATCATTTTTGTAGTTAATGACTTAATGGACTGATATCATTTCTTGGATTGTCTGCTTTTAGCTTTCTTTTAACTTACATTAACCAGGATTGTACGTCAAGGTAGGCGACAGATAAGCAAACGTAGCGTATGTTCAATATGATATTTTAAAAAACAACTACCGACAGATAATCAGATGAATGAATAACTAAGCTAATTTAAACGAGCATATACTGCTCGTGAAAACTTTAAATAGGTATGAAAAACAAATACTTTTACAACTCGTTCTTATTCAGAGAGAGTAAAATAATGAATAGCACTTACAGAAATCCGTCAGAAGGGTTTACTCTCAGGTTATTTTTTGGTTTAAAAGATACTAATTAATAAGTAATATTTAGAACTTCGATGAAAACTTAAATCTTTGTTATGTTGATCCTCCCCCTTAAATGAAATAGATTACTGATTAAGCTATATGGTCGTCAACTTCGAATAGCTTTCAGTTAATACTGTTTGAAATGACTTTATTGACAAGATACTAGGGGAACGATATTCACGACTTATTTATAGATAAAAAACTATATATATATATATATATATATATATATATATATATATATATATATATATATAAACTGTGTCCACAAAACAAGACCTAACTTTGAATCCTCAGTGTAAAATGAAGAGAGGAAGACTGAAGAACACATTGCGTCTGGAGTTGTAGGCAGACATCAAAAGAAACAGCACTTAGGAACAGCTGGAAAGGAGAGCTAAGGATAGGCTGGGTTGTAGATTCTTAGTAGGTGGTTCATACTCCAAAAAATGTAAGTACGTAATTACCCAATGTAAAGTTCTATAAGCATTTTTGAAGTACGTCCAATTTCAAGCTGAAAGTCAACAATTTTTAAATGACCTGGAGACAAATTTCATTTTTGTTTCATCTATATAAAATCTTAGTTGTACAGGTATTCTTTCGAAGCCTAATACTATAAAATCAATCACTTAAAAATAAGGATGTATCCTGATTTTCATGACATAATAGTATAAAGTGCCGAAAACAAAAGTCACCACACATTAGTACAATTTCTGAAATTGTTTCAGTCCGACAGTTATCCTTCTACAATGATGCATGTAAGTACATTAACTCCATTTGTTTCACTGCCCTCGCCCAAACCTGGGATACAAAAACATTCAAGGATTTCAAAAAAACTCGAAATCATCTACAAGAACACTATATAATTACTGTAACATCAGTGTATATATTTTGCGATGGGAATGCCTATGGATGTAAAATTCAAAAACAGCGACAATCACGATAATTTATGCAAGCTTGCTAAATATTTGACTAGATATATTGAAGGAAACTATATTCTATGACAATAAACTGTCGCTACGATGATATGCCTCAATGGATGAAATATAACATTTAACTACTATATACACTAGGTTGGAAACCGATTTCATCGCCTTTGATTTGGGCGATCGGATAATGTTAATAGTCTTCACATATACACACACACACTGGCACATGAAAAACTGAGTAATTAACCGAGATAAATTACCTTATACTAAGAACACTGAGAGCTTAAAACTGTAACATATTTTAACGGATACCAACAAAGGAAGAATATGATTGCCAAAAAGTTAAAAATTTGAAATTACAAAGATAATAGTGTACTCACTTATTGTGGTAGACAAAAAATGGAACAATTATTTACAGTATAAATGAAAGTTCTGTTTAATATCGTTTGTAACATTACACAAACAGGCTACATTACACCGTATCTATTCTTAATTATAAGACTACTACTACTAAATGACAAAAAAGGTAACAATAGTTGAATCTTTTCAAACCAATATTCGAATGAAATAGCTGCAGAAGGTAATCTCTTTATACGTACACAAAATAATCTATAATGCGTTAGAATTACACACACACACACACACAACTAAAGATGAGATTCAACATGGATTTTAATAAAGGAAAGTGTAAAAACCGTTTTAAAAAAAAGGAACAATCAACTTCACTTCATAACACAAGTACATAATTAACACTTCGATAATCATATATCCTCAAATGAAAAATCTCATACATATATACACATGATAAAAGAACAAATTTACAATAAAACAGCTGTTTTAATTAGATAGATTAAAATACTAATATAAAAATGACAGTGGACAAACAAATTCACTTAGATTTCAATCATGACAATACAGAATGTGAATAAAAATACAATACGAAGTGTTTGTAACACTATTAACAGAATGTTACAAATAAATAGTAATGTTATACAGTTTCATTCCTATATACAAAACTTATTCATGGCAAAAGTTGATCTTAAAAGGAGTTTCAATGAAGAAAAAAACAACAGAAGTAGTGTATATTTTATCGAAATGAATAGTAAACCTTAATATTACATTTGGTGCATCGGAAAATACGTAAAGAATAAAAAAACCTATTATTATACATGTAATATTGTCATAAATATTTGTGTATGATGAGTCAGAGTAATTCACACTACATACGGAAGAGATTTATGTAAGTAAATGACTTTGTTCATTGAAATGTTTAACGCATTACCAATCATCACCCAGTCTATCGTTGACACTAAAATGATGCGGTACAAATGTGCGCATCAGTTTTGGTGGTTGTCCTCTGAGCTAAACGGTTTGAATGTCGTAGTAGAGTTTTGTATGAACTAGGGATTGATAGTGTTGTTTAGAATCGCAATGAAAGTTCCGAAATCAAACTATCCAACTCAAAGAACACAACACACCGTTTAGATCATCTACCCGGGCTGCAGACCTCCGTTATATATATATATACCGGTTTTAGTTACCACACAATACAGTAGAAGTAAAAATAACCAAAACAGTGTGAATTACTCCATCAATAACCGTAGTAACAATGAAACCTAAAACACTAGTGCATTGGAAGGAATGGATGAAACTAGAGAAGAGAAAATATTAAATGACACTTAGCTCCTTCATGATTCAGAGAAAGACATTTTTCGAAAATAAGCGAATTTCCTACCCTATGATCTAATTTGGCTTACATTACCTAATCCCAATAATAAAGATCACGATCACCATGTGAACCTTAAACAAGAAGCGTACATTTCAACAGTTTATCAAGAATTATATGTAAATGTAGTGTGTAATGGCCAGGTCAATCTACAGGCACCAATTATCAGTAAAGGATTAGTGGAGACTGTTGAGTTTTCTTAGTGAGATCATGAACCGATCAATGTTAGACCACTAGTGAAAACTTGGAAGCACTGGATGGCTGTTTCGTCCTAATGTGGGACTTCTCAACAGTGCACATCCACGATCCCGTGCGCAGGACTCGAACCCAGGACTTTCGGCCTCAACAACAATCTCCACAACCCCACTGATTACTATCATGTGCTCACTAGTGAATAGCTTCGAGAGGTACTTCTTGTTTTTTTAGTGAGAAGTCGCAACCAGTGGAGTTGAGACGTATTGGGTATGAGGCCGTCACTCACCGAAGACAAGAGATGCAATATCGTGGATTAGTTTAAGTTAAACATTAACACCGTTGGATACCGGCTAAGTGGTCTGGAAGTTAGGCGTTCGCACGAGACCGAAGGTCCTGGGTTCGATTCCCGCATGTGGAATCGTGAATGAGCACTGCTGGGGAGTCACCCAGGTTTTCAAAGGTGGTCTAACATCGATCCGTTCGTGATCGCAGTAAAAACACCAATTAGTTTAGAAATTTACAATTCTTAAGAATAATAATGCACTCAGGAAACTACAAAATAATTAGTCTAGGATGATTTTGTTCAGCCAAATCATATACCTAGAACCACTGTTATAGTTTACCAAATGTTTAATGAATTTGTGATACAAGATGAGAGAAACAAAACAAGTTGATATAACAAGAAAATTAATGGACTCTCAATTCTATTTTTAAAAATAGAAAATAATACATGGCTTTAAAAATAAAATTATTCACTTACCTGTGAAGTGAGTATTTTTGCTGTAGCTGAGGTGCACGCGGGAATCAATTGCACCGGGTCATCATTACGCCCTGAATAAGAGTGAATTTTGTTAGAGAGAGACAGAATAAAGATAAGACAATCATACTACCTTAGTTACAGACTAACTTAAAATTCTAACACTACAATATAAACTATGTTAGGCATTCGATGCATTAACTATTTTTCAAAGGACAGAAGATAGTAAGTCAAGATTTAACAACTTCGCATTGTAATTATACAAAAGTATTTAATCACATATTGTAGAAAACAAACTTATTATGTTGATATATGTTAAAGTGAAATTAATTTAGACATAAAAACATACGATTAGTTAATAACTTTAATGAAGTGGTTGGACCTGAATGTTATGAAAATCGAATTGAATTACACTAGCTGAAACACTTACTTCAAGCTTTAAGAATATTCTGGAAAAAACAATTTCTGATTATATGAATTATAT